TGGACTGTATTTTGTTAATGCATCCATCTAGCACCAATTGATAGGCAGAGAGATCCAACTGAAATAAAAGGCCACAGGAATTCCCAAAACTCAAGCAATACATGTTGAATTTGATGGCAAGCTGGAAATTCATTTCTTTCCACAGGGGTTGCCTTGGAGAGTGATGAAAGAAATTCACGAATAGTATATCTGCCAAATTTTGGACCATGCCTTGACTAACTACCAGACTGCTCAGTGCTCACTAATAAGGTAAAACTGAACAAAACTGAAAAACTATTGAACTACCAAAATTATATGGTCTATTAATTAAGGCACATCTAATTTGCATCATTCCTTCCACAAGAACCTTAACAAACATGGATTTGCACGTTCTGAGAAGGGACACTCCGCATCTGTAACAAAAGATAATTAAAAGAAATTAATCCCATATTCAAATCTCCCCAATCAGTCCCAGGCTCAGGATTTTTTGCTTTTAGTGCCACCTTACATTGATTACAGATGATTAAATTAATCATGGAACTACCAAGATCAAACTGAATGCTGAGTGATACTTAATGAATGGGACACCAGTCTGTAAAGAAAAAACCAAGTAGATCAAATCCAGGAAAAGAAACCTATGTGTTAATGCCCTATTAGAGACAGGGTTAGAATACTCTTTCAAAGCTAACATGTTCACTTGCCAAAAGTTTCATATCCAAAGATAGATCACTCCTCAAGACTGATCCACATAGATCAATTTTGAAAATCAAATCGGGTCATTGATGTCCAAACAAGACTGAAACACTAAACACTAACATTACCAATACCTAGTTAGCAGTTACATTGAATTGAAAAGTTAATTCAATGCTTATATGGATCAAGACAACTCAGAAGTCAGATTCACCACTGACTGAAATATTTATTTAGAATTTAAAATAGCAGAATTATTGCAGGTTAACAAATTAGGATGGCAAGACAACATACTCTTCATTCTAATAATTGCTCACTGAGACATTTAAAATTAGGTATAGCAGGATTTACAGGTTTATCAAATTACAACATTAATAGTAACCAAGGACAGGAAAAGAAATAAAATCTGAAAAGAAGTATCTGACCTGATGTTGACGTTGTTATTTATATGTGTGGAGACATTCTTTTGAACCCATTTCTCAGCAGCCTTGAGGCTGTTAGCAAGAGAAGCAAGCATGTCATTGGGGATACCCACCATGACCTCAATGCCTGATCGAGCCAGAGCCCGAAGATTATCATAGTTTGCATCAAAGAGCTTCACTTTTGGGATCCCATTCTCTCTCAGCAACTTCACTACAGTATCTGAGGGCAGCGGATGAGTCGATTGTGTGCCCCAGTTTGCACCAATACCACTCACTGTACACACCATTGCAAATAATGAAAGTAACCTAATACCCCATGAACACCACCCCATCTTCTCCTCCATATCTGCTTCTAGAAAGATCAAAACTTTGATCTTTTTCTTAAATGGGTCTCAAAATAACAAGAGATGGGTGCACAACTGATACCTAAAGGAGCCAAAATCCACTCCTGAGCACAAGAAGGAGAGATTCAAGAAAAAAAGGTGCACAGTTGATACAGAATGGTTCCAAAATCTCTTTTGGGAGTACAAGAATGGGAAGATTCAAGAAAACAGAGTTGATCTGGGTAATAAAAAGTAGCAGAGAGGAAAACCCAAATCTAAAACAGAAATGGGTAGCTATAAAATACACTAAAAAATGAAAGCCATTGAAGTTAGAACAAATAATGGAAGTAAAGAAACAACTAGAAACACTAAAGCTGAGTACCTAAGGCAGAAAAATGAAACAACTTTTCAGAGCATCAAAGTTCTACAACTCAAAATAGCAAGATGGGTTCAATAAGGAGAAAAGAGATGATGTTTGGAGATATTCAAGAACTGAGGAAAGATGCGAACATACTAACCTGAAACCAGATTCAAGTTTCACACCCAGGGGAAAAAGGAAAGTGTAAAGTGAGAAAGAAGAGATGAAGAAGAAGTTAAGGATCCTATCCTAGCTGTTGTGGAGTAAGGAGTGAGTTCTGGAATCTATCTACTCCACTCGTTCAGTGACTCACTCCTGACTCACCAACTGAGGCAAAAAGGGGAATGGAATGGAGCACAAGGACATGTCTGCACAAAAAACAATAAGCCAAGCAAACCACAGGTGGGGTTGTAGCCTGTAAAAGAGTATACTTTTGCGGTTAAAATTCCAATATATATATAAAATATGGAGAATTATAAACCCAGATGAGGTGACATCTTTATCGAGAATGATCGAAGCTGCTTGGTTTGGTGTAAAGGAACCGAGCCATTAACAGATGGTTCGAGTTGGAATCGTTTTAATTTCCGATGAGCTCAAACCGAGTTGGAGCTGTGATAATGAAAAAATATATATATCAAAGTGTATTTTAAGGTTAAATTATATATTAAAAAATAATTTTAATATTAAAATTATTAAATTATTTTTAATAAAAAAAATTATTTAATATCAAAAGATTTATCTTTTATTAATTATTATTTTTATAGACTATACATCACTTTTTTAATATCTAATATAGCTTTTAATTTTTTAATATATCAACATTTTTTCATATGTGTACTAAATAAGAGGTATAATAGAGATTG